AGATGCAATGCAAATGAGAATGCAAGAAACTCGGTGTGTATGATGATTGACATGGATTGTGGACTCTCACAAAGTTTTTGATAGAGGGAAATTTTGGATGAGACCGACACACACACATACTGACTCACAAATGCACATAGATATGAATAACAATGGATCAAACACAAAATGAGAGGACATAAGATTTTCATGTTTAAGGGAACGGGTGTAGGAGGAGCAATGAAGACATCCCTAGCAAAAATGTTATTCCCATAGGGGTTTTCAGCTAGGGTCATGGATAGTCTCCTAGGGGCAGCAGGGTAATCTAGCAAATTTGTCTAACTATGAGAGAGATGGTCCTTAACAATGAAAGACAATAATATGGAGGACATAACGGAGGAATCATGAACATGATCAGACGATGGGTCCTGACTCACAATCATAATGGGATAGCCCAAGGAGTCACCCGCATGTATGGGACTCCAAAGATGGGGTACAGTGTCCAGAATAGAAGTGAGCACGATAGATAGAGTGGTGACATGAAAGTGAAGGCTAATATTCTCTCTAACATTAAAGTCGGTACGAGGAATGGTGAGATAAATCCCATCAAAATTGACACACTCTTTCAAATATAAATCTAAAGGAGCAACTCCTAAAACAGATTCCAATAAAACAAGAGGATGTTCATCTTCCAAATTAGGCTCAGAATAATTCAGATTCAGATTAATATCTTCCGAATTCAATTTCAATATGCTCAAGGTCTGATCAGTTTCTTTCGGGATCAAATTAATATCATCCGGGCAGACCTTATCCAACGGGATATCCTTGATGAGACTAGGATTAAGATGGGCTAAGGTATCAATGCTCAAAGGTTCTAAATCTCCTACATCAGTGTCTAATTCAATCAATTCAGTTTCATCATCAAAGAAATCCTCGTCATCAATAATATCATTAGTATCCACGAAATGGATGCACTCAATTTTAGGTTCAAGGGACGTTTTTTGACTGGGATGACTAGGATTCGGCCCAAGTGGGGAGTCACATGGGATCGATCCAACAGAAGACCCAATAGAGGGTCGGCCATCAAGGCTAGGTGAGGACCTATAGGGTGGGGCAGCAACCCTGATGTCACTAAGGTATGGGTGGTCTTGACCACAGTGATGTCCACGGTTTGTCCCAACAAAAAAGACAGGATGATGTTCTAGATGAAGGTTACTGGGTGTTGGGGTAAGGTGAGGGGGAGGTGGGAGAGAGAGATATTTCAGCTCAAGTTCTCGTCTCATGCTTTTCCAATCGATGTCACTAAGGTATGGGTGGTCTTGACCACAGTGATGTCCACGGTTTGTCCCAACAAAAAAGACAGGATGATGTTCTAGATGAAGGTTACTGGGTGTTGGGGTAAGGTGAGGGGGAGGTGGGAGAGAGAGATATTTCAGCTCAAGTTCTCGTCTCATGCTTTTCCAATCAAAAATAGGGTATTCACCACGAAATTCTCTATGATCTTCTACCCTCATCCAAAACTGACAAGCATGACCACTCAGGAGAGACCTAGCAATGTTAGCTTGTTGGGACTCATGAATACAATGAGATTCAAAATAGTCTTCTAATCGTCTAATCCACTCCTTAAAGTAGTAAGGGTCCGATGAACCATTAAAAGTGGGCAAACGATCATGTGACTCTAAGTGAGGTCGTTGCGGCTTGGATTCATGACTAGGTTGATAAATAGAATGGGTAACCTTCCGACTGACATGATTGACCGATTGGTGCACATACCTACAGTGGGGAATGTCAACATGTTTCTCCTTCATCATTTTAGTTATAGAGCCCACTATATTAACTAGGTCATCTAACTTCTTTTGAAGTCCTATCGGGTCCATTGCTAGACACTAGGGGTCACTTGGGAGTGAAACAAAGTAGCGGACAGCACCTATCACAAGAGTAGACTCCCTAGAATGACACTAAATGGTGCAGAAATTGTTTGGACAGCAACTAAAACAAAGTGCAAAGCGTTCCTAGACAACTAGAAGAGTTATTACGAAGAAGGCAGCACTTAAATACCCAAAATCAACACTTAATGCTCACTAAATGTATGCATAAACTTCTGGACAGCAAATGTAAGTGAAGATTAAAATGTTTTTATAGATGTTATGCATGCCAAATTAAATATGCAAGCCTAAGTAATAGCCTAGGATGAATTCTAGCACATGTAACGCATGCTAGCCATGCTCTGATACCAGATGATGCAGGACTACTTAGATGCAATGTTTATGAGTTTTATTTAGGCTTTGCACAACTCTTCGATTAGAATAAGTTCAGAATAAAATTACTAGCAATTATCCACGGCGAGTAAAACAATGAAGGAGTTAATCTTGCATAAACTAAATCACATGCGCCAAATTTTGTACATTCAAGATAATTAAGAAAATAAAAACAACACAGAATAGTAGCTTCCAACTTAATCCATAATCTAACAATGAGATTTAGGATACATAGAAATCATGCTCAATTCCTATGATTTACTAAGCTTAGCAAGAGCATTCGGAGTAGGCTTTAGCGAATACAATTTTAACCAAACGAGAATTTAGAATTAGAAGAAATTGATGACAAGTAGAAAGAAAAACCTTTCGTTAAGAAGATTTTGAAATCCTCCACTCAAGACCTTCGAAATGCTCTTCAATGGCTTTCGTCAATTGGAACAAAATACGATCTACGTATTCTTCAATTGTATGATCGATCTCCGGGTTCACGTCGAAGAATGTAGAACGGAAGATGTCGGTGTAGCCGTCGTCGTCCCACGTGATACCGTACTCAGTCTCCGGATCCGCCATTCATGGATGGTTGGAAGTAGAGAGTCAATAACAGTTGATAGACTTCTCGAGTAGTAGAAATAATGACCTCCAATTGTCCTCCAAAGAATTTCTAGATATGGCTGTCAAGAAGCCTGAAATAGTTCAGGTTTTCTTCTCAAATCTGAGAAGAAAATAAGCTCTAAATGTAGAGAGGATGGATGGGAAGGGTTGAATGTATGGCTGTGAACAATAGGGGATGAGATGTGGAGAAGAAGTGGGAGAAGGAGGGGAGTTACGGGTGAGAGAGGGAAAACAGAAGTTGGGCGGCAAACAGGGAAAAGAAAATAGGAAATCTACTTTATTTCCAAAGGGGATGTTACCACTTAGGCAATAACGTAATCGGGTAAGACGGGAAAATAATTAAAACATAAATAATAAACGACAAATAACATAATAAACGACAAATACATGAAAAAAATGACTAAAACAAAATACAACGACTCGATCGTGGCCGTAGATCGACGGCCACGCCTTGATTCATGCTCTGATGTCCCCCTCAACTTCCTATAAGATCCTTACAATATCTATCGTCCACTTGCCCCGACATCGCTTTTTCAGTCAACAAACTGTGCCAATATATAAATCAACCACTGCTCTTACATTTTCAGCTGCTTAAAATAGTACTTCGATGCCTGAAGAGCACAATCACTCATGGCCTCAAAACAAAATACAACGACTCGATCGTGGCCGTAGATCGACGGCCACGCCTTGATTCATGCTCTGATGTCCCCCTCAACTTCCTATAAGATCCTTACAATATCTATCGTCCACTTGCCCCGACATCGCTTTTTCAGTCAACAAACTGTGCCAATATATAAATCAACCACTGCTCTTACATTTTCAGCTGCTTAAAATAGTACTTCGATGCCTGAAGAGCACAATCACTCATGGCCTCTTTCTCCCGAAATCAGAGCTTCAGCTCTCTGCTTATTCTGACTGGGTTGTTGACAACCTTGATCGCAAATCCACCATAGGCTATTGCATTTTTCTCGAAACATCCCTTCTCAATTGGTCGATCAAGAAACAATCTACCATTGCACGTTCATCCATTGAAGCTAAGTATCATTCTCTCGCCTTTGCTGCCGCCGATATCATTTGGATGCGTCATCTCTATGATGAATTTTTTATTTCGCAAGCTACCACTCCAATTTTCTGCAATAACATCTCAGCAATGTCCATAGCGTACAACCCCATCCTTCATGCACGCACCAAACATATCGAGATTGATCATCATTTCATCTGTGACTGCATTCAAGCCAAACACCTTGCGGTTCATCATTCCACCATCGACCAAGTTGCAAACATATTAACAAAGCCTTTTCCCTTTACTTGATTGTCAACTCTTCAAAGCAAGTTGCTAGTCCTCCCAACCATCAACTTGAGGGACGGTGACGAGCATTTCAACTCCACTCTCCTCACACTCCAACCAAATCACAGAGCTGTCGTCCGTTAGACCTGCCAGCCCCCACTAACAACCACTTTTCTACTTTATGTAACAGCCTAGGGTATTTTAGTATTTACAAATTCTCCTTCTACCATTATGTATAAAGTTATCTCCAAGTGTATTAGAACACATATGAATCAATGCTATGGTTAATGTTCATTTCCTATTTATCTTCGTCTGTTCTTTTGTTAGCTGTTTGTGAGCTCTGTGCCGAAAGCTTCAACAGTATATACTATTTTTGCATTATGTCTCTAAAAATAAAACCACTCATCCACCTGAGCATCCTCATCTCTACAACACTTTAACTTAATTTTATGCATCTATTAGGCATATCGCTATAAAATAGTTCTCGTTTAACTTTTTTAAGAAAAAAATCTATAACATCCATAATAATTTTCAAAAAATCTGTTTTAAAACACAACAGTTCTGCAGCTAATTTTACAAATAGCCACAACTACCTCAAAAGGACTCAAATATGATGTATGAAAAAGAGGAAAAGTCTGTTACAAATCATCACAGTATCTGAATTGATTTATAACTATGAAATATGAAAGGCCTTAGAAACTCTGTTGATGTTGTTGCAAACATCAATGAAATAAGAAGAACGAACACAAAACTAAGCATTCATTTGATGCCATTTAAAATTACTTTGATTTATGCATCAAAACTATGCTTCGAAAATTCCTTCCTTGTTTCTGCACTTTATCTATGTAACGGTATTTCTACAGCAATATTAACACAATTTTACCAAAGCCTAAGATCAATATAGCTCTTCTCTTTAGTACACTGTAATATGTTTCTATGAAAAGCTGCAATGCCTGATTTCAGTAATGCAGATGATGTCATTTCTAATCCCCATTGGTTGCTTTTATAGAGACGGAAGCTGGGCCGGAAACCACAAGAGATCAAGCAGATGAAGAAGTAAATCAGCTGTTTCTCCCTTATAGGGGGTTTACTGCTCGCAAAGGGGTAATCATAAGCAGAACTATACATTTTCATCACCATTATTATCAATATAAAATGATGTATATTATAGATTGATTCAAGAAACAAAATAGAGTTTAGATATGAAGAAGATAATAAAGATTTGAGTAGTTATGGAGAATATTGCAATAATTTATGGAGATATTTAAAGAGGATATTCAAAATAAGATGTATAGGAATAAATTAAGAAATGCTTGCATCAACAGAACAATCGGAATTCATAAAACCATCCCCAAATAATCAGAAAAACGTTGATGACGACGATGATGATGATGTTCATTCATGACTTTCTGCATTTTAGAATTTGAAAGAATTCACAAGAAAAGATGCCAAAGAACGCATTGTGTCATAAAATTTGAGATTGTGATACACCACAAACCTGAACAAGTAGCTAAAAATCACTTTTTTTTCAAAAAGAAAGCTTCTTTTTAGATAAAATACCATAGTTTTGAATCCTTGGCAGAGTGGTATTGCCTTTCATATTTCATTGGAAAAAAACACCAGAGATACATCAGGCTTACATGTTGTTTTTTGGAATTTGCAGATGCAGCTAAAGGAGGTAGTCCTGGAGGGTGCTGATATTTCTAAGGCCATAGTTGATTACATCAATGCCAGCTCCATCCAAAACATAGTCGTTGGGGCTTCAAATAGGAGCATCATGAAGTCTATCCAACACACCGCACATCATTTTATCTTCAACGCAATATTGAGCCTTTCAAACCTTACTAACATCAGTTCTTCTAATATGCAGAAAACTCAGAAGTTTTGATGTCCCAAGTAGCCTGATGAAATCAGCACCAGACTTCTGTGCTGTGTATGTCCTTTCCAAAGGGAAAACAACTAGCATCCGAGCAGCAAGAAACTCAACTCCTAACGTTATTCCACCAAGGCAATTGAGCATCACAGCAACTTCACTAGTCCTACCTGACCAGGAAGATTCAAGCAGGTAAGTGCCTATGAACATTGAACTGATTTATGAATTTATAACAGAAAGATGATATGAATGCTTATTTATCCAACATACAAAGCATTTTAGGTTTTATAACAGGATAAGACCTCACTTCCCGTTTCTGCATCATACAGTAGATCATCATATTCAAGGAGGAGCTGGAGAGTTTCAGGTCCACCAACCCCCTTGCATGAAAGGACAGAACGAAGATCAATAGATCTTATGCCTGATTATCTGAATACTTCTGCAAGAGATAGGCCACTTTCCATAGCTCGTTCAGCACCGCCACCCAACAATCTGTTCATGGAGAAGCTCGATTTTGCTAACCTGTCTGGAAGTTCTGTTGATTATGGAAGCTCATTTTCAGATGACATTGATATACAAGGACACAGCTTCCAATCAATGAACATTGGAAATTCTCTTGAATTTTCTTCAGCCTCTGTTGATAGTCCTACAAGCAAACGACACTCAGTTACTGGTGTAAGTGCAAGAAAATGATTGAAGTCATCATTTGTAATGTGACGTTCATTTTTAGGCATCGTCTAATCTGTTTTTTTAGAATCTTAGGTGAATCGAGAACTTGAGGCTGAAATGAGAAGGCTGAAACTTGAGCTAAAGCAAACAATGGAGATGTATAGCAATGCCTGCAAAGAAGCTGTAACAGCTAAACAGAAGGTGAGAAAAACTCTCCCGCTATTCCATTAAAATAAGATATTTGTAACCTTAAGCGCCAAGATTAAGTTTGTAAAATCTTGTAATTGTTTGGATGCAGGCAATGGAGCTTCAACAATGGAAAATTGAAGAAGCCCAAAAGTTTGAGGAATTAAGACATGCAGAAGAAGCAGCTCTTGCTATGGCTGAAATGGAGAAAGTAAAATGTAGAGCTGCCGTTGAAGCAGCTGAAACTGCACGAAAGATTGCTGAGCTCGAAGCACATAAGAGACAAAATGCAGAAAGGAAAGCTAGGCATGAGGCTGAAGAAAAGAAGAAAGCATTGGATGCACTAACTCAAACTGACACCCGCTACAGGAGATACACCATTGATGAGATTAAAGCAGCAACTAATGACTTCACTGCAGAAAATAAGATTGGTGAAGGTGGCTATGGACCTGTGTACAAGGCATATCTGGATCATACACCAGTTGCCATTAAGGTCTTAAGAGCAGAAGCAGCACAGGGAAGAAAACAATTCCAACAAGAGGTAAATCACTATTTTGATTTTTGCAGATAAACAGCAAACATTCTAGTGATAATAAGAAAAGTTAATAACCAAAACAAAATGTTCAAAATTCAAATACATCAATAGCATCACATGAACTATAAAGTACTTTATAGACTATACAAATCCCTATGACAATTGGGATGATATGTCATGTCCTAGAATCTAAATTAAAAATAATTGTATCTTTTAATAAAAATAATAATCATAATTATCTAATTTCTTCCAATTATAAAATATTAGCGGAAATAAATCTATTGATCAAAAGATCAATATACATATGCATTCATTTATCCAAAAATCACATACAATAGTCAGGAGATATATAAATACAACATACTGTCTACCCACTTTTGACTATAAAAGAATAATTACGAGACAAAACAATAGTAAACCATGAAAATCTTGTATCTGATTAGTCTCACGCTCCTGATCATCTTCTCTAACTTGAAATCATTAAATCACATATAATGAGCTTAAAAACTCTGCCCGTCACCAAAATTCTTACTGGATTCAAAGCACGAAAATGAAATAGCATGCAAATAATCATTCAATTCATAATAGTAGTAGTCAATATGATCATAAATCTTTACACAAATAATAAAACACATGCCGAAATAATAAAATTGAAAAAAATAGTGCAGTACGAATGTCGAAGAAGTAAACCAATAAACAATCATTCTTAAATCATGCATCTTAGCAATATTGTCCAAATATTAATGAAATCATATAAACCAATAAAATAGAAGTACTTAAGAAAACTATCAAAATCTATAGCAATATTGAATAGTACTATGCAGTAATCATATAGGAGTGTACACAGGTTGCTCAATTATACTAGTATTAGTATTATCATCTCATATCACATGTTCAATAATAGAAATCAAATGCTCAGCAACTATAAAATCAATACAGTAACATTAAATCCATACAGTGAACATAAATCATTACAATGAAAGTATCTTAGTACAGTAATAGTAAATTAATACAAAAAATGTATTCTATATATACACTAAACAAGTAAAGAGTTCTGGCTTATGTGATATTTTTTTAGTAAATCAATACAAAAAATGTATTTTATATATACACTAAACAAGTAAAGAGTTCTAGCTTATGTGATATTTTTTTAGTAATCATTAATCGTTGACTCAGTAAATAGAGTCGTCATTCCTGTCTGTCGACATAATAATTAACTTTTATAACTCTCAATCAGTAAATCAATAAAGAGTAACACCATAAATAATAGTATTTAAAGGAAAGTGTGTCGACCCAGCATTTAACATATGTATAAATAAGCCCAACTAAATAACAAGCCTTTACTTGTTCTCAAACACACTATTATTATAATATTACAAACGTAATAATAATCAATTATTACTCAATCATATGTTCATATTCATTCACAATGTTTACATTAATAATATATTTGTATTAAAATATCATAATTATTATTCTTATTCAAATCATACAGAATATAATAATTTTCATTTTAACTAGTGAAAGTAAAAATACAAATCAACCTATCATTTCAGTGAGTTGCGCCGTGGCGTCCAAGTAACCAGCACCATTGTTTAAAATTGAGCAATATGTGGCTCATCTTGAGGCCCGCCCCAGCGCAATTCTAGTGAAAAAAGTCTTGAGGCTTTCGTCTCAAACTCTTTTAATGAGGCTTACGCCTCATCTTAGCTGAGGTCCGCCTTGAGGCATGCCTCGTTTCGCTGGCATGAGGTGTACGCCTCACTTTATTTATGTATTTTTTATTTAAAATATACTTAAATCCTATACAAAAGCCTAAATATTTCATGCCTTCTTGCACCCCTAAACTGCAACAACTTTCTCGTCCTCTAGCTCTCCGCCTTCACCGTAGCCACTACTGTTGCAGCTGCTATATGGGATCACTTAAAAGCCGCACGCCGCCACTATCTCTTCCAAAAATTTTGGAGTATTACTCTTATCTTTATATTGATGACAAATATTTATGAAAGATGAAGATGACTGAAATAATTGAAAAAGAAGCACATTAAGAGGTATCCACACTACATGATGAGGCAGGAAGAGAATAATTTTTTATGACAACGACTTAAATAAAAAATCCACTTAGTAATGATAATACATATGATTTTTTAGTTGTCAATTATTTCAACTTTCTTTAGGAATTAAACATAGATGAGTAGGAAACTGAGAAATAAAAAATTTAGAGCTAAACTTGATATTATATGATAATTTTATTTAATTTATATGTTTTATTTTATTTTGTTCCTGTAATATTTGGATTTCAATTTAATTTGACATAATTATCACCTACCACTTTACATCTTAAGCAATTTTTTGTTTCATATGTATGTAAATTTATTACTTTATAATTCAATATAAGTTAATATGCCATCATTTAATATATTATTTAGGTATTATATAAAAATCACTTTTAATTTTTATTTTCACTTTACGCAATGTTTAGATTTTGAGGGTTATGCCTCAAAACGCAATGAGGCTTACTCCTCACCTCACAAACGAAAAATGCCTCAATACCCAACTGTGCAAATTTAAACCTTGCCCAGCGTCGTTGCGACACATGTGATTCCAAAGTTATTGTAAAACAGAGAGCTATGGCCTTGAGGAGCCACTCTTTGGTGCTTCTCAAAGCCGTTGCGCCCAAAAGCACAGTGTTGTAGTGCTCCGTGTAGATTTTTGAAATATCTGAAAAATTATATTATTCAAAATTAGAGTAGTTACTTGATATATCCTCCTAAACTACTCCTATAAAAAGCATTGCTACATAATACAAATAAACACAAACAAACCAATCTTCAGAAGTCAAAAGTAATCTCCTTGTATAATGCATCTTTTAGTACTTGGGTCTCTGAATTTACTTTTAATACCAGCTGCTTAAACATTCTTTAATATAAATAATATCATACTTTAATATAAATAATATCATAAAACCTTCTGAATAATAGTTATCCATTCAATAATACTGATGCAACAGCAAGTTACAAGAATTAGGGTGTGAATGGTTCAAACTTAAGTTGATATAACCCTTGTACAAGATTAGCTCCTAGTCATTCAATTAAATCTCAAATAGAGATGGATCTGGCTATAGTTTTGCTCAATTTGATGCTGATTCAAAACAAGATCACCTTATTTATTTGAGTTCAAGCCACAAATTATCAATTGTCGATAATTTTAAAAAAATTCATAGTCCAAGCTTGAAACAAGCACCCATACATACGTACATATACATCCATGTATATATGCATTAATACAAATATAAATGTATACATATAAACATATGTATATAGGCATTTACATATACATACATACGTATATAGACATTTTGGTTCGATCTCGAGCTGACTTGATTCATTTCAATGTTAAGTTTAAGTTCAATTCAAGATGAGTCGGGCTCATTATTCCGCTAGTTGATTTTGATCCAAATCATAAATTGATTTGATTTCCAACCTATCCTCAATCTTTTAGTTAAATTCACAGCCCTAGCAAGAATGCTTGTTTGCTTTTTCTTGTGCCCACAACTTATATGGACCAAGCAAGAAGGATGAGGCTTACATCCACTATTGCTTCCATTGGTTCACATAAGCTTTGGGCACAATAAACAAATAATAAGAATTTTAAAATGCACATTTTATTTGGGAGTAAAGTATCTTCTACTCATCTCTGGATTGAACTTCTTTCATACTTCTGAACTCCTTCCAAATTTGCGCAACCTACTTCAAAATTTTATCCAAGTTCCCAAACTATTATTCTGATTACCATATTGTTGTTGTATCGAAACAAAAGTTGAACCCAACTGCTATACTACCAAATCCATCATGCTTTGGATTAACCCGGTGATGATGACTATTCAGGTTGAAGTCTTGAGCTGCATCCGTCATCCTAACATGGTCTTACTACTTGGCGCCTGCCCTGAGAATGGATGCTTAGTGTACGAGTTCATGGACAATGGGAGCTTAGATGACAGGCTCTTCCGAAAAGGAAACACCCCACCAATTCCATGGAGCACAAGATTCAAAATTGCAGCTGAAATAGCTACTGCACTCTTGTTCCTCCATCAGGCAAAACCTGAGCCGCTGGTCCACCGTGATCTAAAGCCAGCAAATATCCTTCTAGACCGAAACTATGTCAGCAAGATCAGCGATGTCGGTCTAGCAAGGCTTGTGCCACCATGTGTGGCTGACACTGTAACACAGTACCACATGACATCAACTGCAGGAACATTCTGCTATATCGACCCTGAGTACCAACAAACTGGGATGCTCGGCGTCAAGTCTGATATTTACTCTCTAGGAATAATGCTGCTTCAGATGATAACGGCTAAGCCTCCAATGGGCCTCACCCACCATGTGGAGAGGGCAATTGAGAAAGGAACATTTGCAAGGCTTCTTGATCCAGCAATAACTGATTGGCCAGTAGAAGATGCACTTTCCTATGCTAAGCTTGCCTTGAAATGTGCTGAACTGAGGAGAAAGGACCGGCCTGATCTTGCAACAGTAGTCTTGCCAGAGCTGAACAAACTAAGAAAACTTGGACGCGACCATGAAGCTAACAGACGACATAAAGGAAAAAGCTGCAGGACTGGCAGCAATTTCAGCACTCCACCAAGGCCACATAGCAACAACAATTCACAGCCACGGACAGGGCCACTCATGCAGCAGGTAGTTGACTCGGGCTTCGTTTCGGATGTCTTTCTTACTGCTTCCTAAAGCAGCTTTTTAGTAAAAAATACAAAATTTTTTGTATTTTTTACTAAAAAGCTGCTTTAAGAAGAAGTAAGAAAGCTGTCCCAAACGAAGCCTAGATCTCTAAACAAAACATGGCACAACCATATTCAATTACCTGAAATTTAACATTGTTCATGTTGTCAATTCCAGGAACAGGTTGCAAGCAACGCTGGTGTTACAGCAAAGTCGACATCACCAAGTGATGATGATGTCAAAGCTGGATAAAAGCACAGGATTCAAAACAAAAGAAGGTTTGCATAAGCTAAACGTTTTGGATGGATGTTACAGGCTTAGGATGGATATTAAAGGTGAAGAAAATTATAATTTTATGGCTGATTATAGTGTAGGGCATGTCAGCTGTAAGTTATTCATATTTATTTATTTTTTCCTTCTCCAATTAATAGAATCTGTATTAAAAAAAATTATGGAAGAATCATTGGTTAATCTTAATTCACAATTGCCTGAAGTTTGCTAACTTGGCTTCATGGAAGACCTCAGATGAAACAAAACTTGAAGGCTGTCAGTTCATTCAAATCAATAAATGAAGAGAAAATTGCTATACAACGGGATTCAGCAAGGCCGACATGTTGAAATCAGGGATTTTGTAAAATTAGAAACTTGGCTTGGATAAATTTGTCCCAGGTGCCATATATCACAAATGAAATATCAAAGTAACATGCGTATGGTATGATACACTGCTCCAGCGGATCCTAAGAACTTTTAGGAAATTTGTTAAGTCAGAATGATTCTAACAAAATGTAGGGGTTAGGCCATGCCTGAAGATGTGAGATTCAAATATTGCTGCCAAAATGGCTTTTGAAGAGGAATTGAGTGATGCATTCTCCAATAAAACTATCCCCAAGCTTTGGTTTGATCAAGCATGTGAGTGTTGAAAGGGATTTATTTGAATTATTTGCTTATATTTATAATTTTTATTCGTTTCCTACAATTTAGAAAGTAGATGCTATTTTCTATGAGGTTGTACTATTTCAATAGAGTAGTTTCTAGATTTTGGACAATTGTTGCTGCTTTAAAGTGATAAAATTTAATTTTATGATTGACTTAGGGTTCGTTTGGGACAACGGTTGCTTTTTATAAAGTGATAGCAAAGCTGTTGTTTAGAAAAAAAACTTTTTAAAAATTGCTAGAAATCAACTTTCTAATACAAAAATTTATTGAAAGTAGTCAAAAGTAGTGACCAAATAAAAATTGTTATTGATGTCTAAAAAATAAAACAGTAAAAAAATTGTCCCAAATAAGCCTTAGAATTTAATGTTTCCTATATCAGACTATTACTTTTTTTAAATGAGAACCTATTTGAATCATTATAACTAATCTAATAAGGGTTGAATGAAATACCCCCACCCCCACCACCACCTCTAGTCGGAAGTCTTCCACCTGTTTAATCCGAGTTTCGAACATCCAGTAGCGGTTCTCCACCTCCTATGGCTATAGGTCCTTCTGTGTCGAATCTTACCACCAATCTCCACATTCTAGCTACTATTTCTCTCCATTCAGAAGATATATTGTCCCATTCTCAAATTTCATGGAAACAATGGAATTTCACCCTATTTTTATAGGAAAATTGATAAAGAATTAGAGGAAATGGCAAAATATATCATTTAGAGTGTCACACTCTGGAATCGGAAGGCTGTACACTCCGGCCACACGGGTCATGATGAAATGATATAAAGACTTGTTTTGTATTTACATAGAGAGACATGCATATACAAGATACAACTGGAATATTAAGCACGCATCGAAGCATAAAGAAAAATGTCTTAATCCACCTTAGCCATGCCATAAACAACAATTTAGTTATGAAAAAAATATGATCTAATGTATATAAAAATAATCTAGAATTTGATTAAGTCGAACATCAAATTTAGATAAAACTTTCTCTTCAAAGAAAGACAAAACTCCTATGAGAAATTTAAGACTATAGGAATCAAATTTAATCTCACAATAAAATTGAAAGAAGTCTTAATTAGACTATTAGTAACATAAGAAGAAGAAAGAGAGAAGGATAGGGAGAAGGAGAAGGAAAACACACTGTAATAGGAAAAGAGTTTGAGAAGAAGAATTTGTTGAGAGGTGCTCGAGAAAGAAATGAAGAAGGAGAATAGGATTTTCGCTGCTGCTAAGAGGACAAAAGGGGGATAGAATGATGCCAAGGTTTTATTTATATAGCGAGGGAAGGTCGGCAAAGGCAGAATAATTTAGAAAGGCGGCGCAATCAGGTGATTTTCATGATTGGAGAGAGGGAACCCTAGCAAGGGAACCGCTTGGATCACTTGCCTGTGAAAGGAACTTTTATTAGGTCAGGACGCCTGACGTAGCTCTACATCCGGAGGCCAATAAAATGTCGTCACATGCTCTTACTTCTTACCGCACAGCCAGACGACCCGGACCGAAAACCGGTATTGCTATGTTCGTGTATTGCTAGGTATTGCTCGGTATTGCTAGATATTGCTTGACAATAATGAGAAATACCGCTCTTCCAAGACTAATACCGAGTAATACCTACCAATACCGAGTAATACCTACCAATACCGAGCAATACCTAGCAAAACTGGGGTATTACTCGGTATTGCTTGGTATTGCTAGGTCTTGGTCTTGACAGAGTGGTATTTCTCGTTACCGAGCAATACCTAGCAATACCCTGGTCTGCACAAATCAGCTAATACATAGCAATATCGTGTTCCAGTCCGGGCCAGGTCGTCTGACCGCACGGTAAAGAATAAGAGCATGTGACGACATTTTATTGGCGTCCGGATGTAGAGCTACATCAGGTGTTCTGACCGAATAAAAGTTCCTGCAAAAGAGACCAGCACTGTTATCGGCTTGCTCGGTCCCACCAGGACCAGGCCGATCCGGTTCGAGTATTACAGAGAGAGTAAAGACGGGAAGATGGAATGATTTCCGAACAAAATCCTTACTTCACTTCAGTAATTCTATTGCAACTTTACTTATTAATATGATATTTATTCCATACAATATTGTTTTCTTACGTATTTGTGTGAAACCCTAGCTGATTCCCGTGGGATCTCTTTTCCAAAGCCTAGTATATCTTATTGGCGGGAAACCCAAGGGATGTGAGAAACCTTCTAAGATATGATTGGGATCATGTAGTTAGGTTGGGAAAACTAAGGGTGCGTTTGGGACGGCTACAACTATAGGTAAGACGGGTTGTGAAATTATTGCACAGAAAGCTATTTTCTGAATTTTCCGTACATAAAACAATATTTTTGTTTGGATAGTATAACTGTAAACTGCTTTGATGCTGCTGTATAAGAATAATTTATATTACTACCCTCATTGTACATAAATTTAAACTATATAAATTCAAACAGTAGTTTTTGTTATTGTACAAAAACCTGCTTTAATGATATATAATTCTCTTCCGATTCTAATGATCATAATTGCATATGAGCAGAACATATATCCAGAGAATTGAGGATGAAAGGAAGGTTCAGAAATCAAAACTTCGAGATATCAACTGCTTACAGTGGAAATCAAAACCAACCTGATAAAAAACTTTAGGATATCATAATTGCATTGCTGCAGAACTTCATCCCATGAGACATCAGGCATATGAGCAGTTCTATATAATGCATAAAATGCCTTACAGAGCATATTACAATGGAAATCAAAATCATAATTTATTACTTATGCTGTAATAAATTATGTTTAACAAAACATAAAAACAACAAATTATTATGCTTTAATATTGTATGTAAACAAAAATATAGAATTCAATATAAGTAGATATGAAATGCCAATCCTCTAGCAGCCCTGAGTGCTCCAAAATACAAAAATAAGAATGAAATAAAACATCATTGAATAGCAATTGGAGATCACGAAGTTCCATCTTTTTCATGATTTCGTCTAGCAAGTATCCCCTGGAAACATCAAACAGAAAAGGAGAAGATGAGTTGAATAAATGAACAGCGAACAAATTTATTGAACTGTAAGAACTCACTAGACATGCCAATCCTAGTAGCACGACTTTGATCCGCCAGCTCGCATCTTGATTCTTCCCTGTCATGATTTTCGTGAGATAAATTCCCTTCGAAGCCTTGGATTTGTGAGTCAAATTATACGCAGGAAAATCATCTCTATCAGAATAAGCACCCAGTTAGAATCACCGGTAGGCTTCAGATGAACTTGGCCACGAACTATGTCCATCTTGCCCTAGCCGTTGCATTCCCCGTCAGATGCGGCATGAAGTTCCCGAAGATCAGAGATACGAGGTGAGGGTGCAGAGCGGATTCGGCCCGGGGGAGGAACTGAAAGAGCTGCCAAGAAGCCTTGGCGGAGACGGGACGAAACAGAGATGGAGAGAATATGTAAAAGTAATTCTATATCATATAGTGACAGTACAGAGAGCTTTAAATAAGCTAATATAGGTAAAGGTGTAAATAGACTAGGTACACTTTAATGTGAATGAACCGCATGCTAACAGTCTTCCTCAAATTAATCATTTAAGGATTGAATGGTTAATTTGAAATGAAGCTTGTTAAAGAGGGCAATTGAGAAAGGTTTAGTTATGATGTCCACGATTTGTTCTTTGGAAGAAATGTGCTTGATGGTGATGTCACCGGAGGAGATGTGTTGCCGAATGAAGTGGCTGTCAATTTCGATGTGTTTCGTTCGAGCATGGAAGACTGGGTCTTGGCGAGTGCGATGGTAGAGATGTTGTGACAGTGGATGATCGTCGGAGAGTCTTGTACAAGAGAGAGTTCGGCGGCTAGCGACGAAGCCAGATAAGTTCTGAGGTGGCTACAGAGAGAGCCTGATATTCAGCTTCTATTGAAGATTTGGTGACGGTTACATGTTTCTTGACGGTCCAAGAGATGAGATTTGGACCCAAGAAAATACAAAATCCAGAGATGGATTTCCTGTCGGTGTTGTTAGTGGCCCAGTCTGCATCGGTAAAGGTTCGAAGATGTAGATCGCCTGTGACTATCGGTAGGCCAAAGGATAGAGTGCCTTTGACATAG